ATGATCTGGTTGCTTGAAATGAAATTTACAGTTTGCAAATCTCGCTGTCTGTCATCACATTATTACATCTGTTCGACTGGCCTTTTATACCGCCAACAAGACATACATGGTCTTAAATGGAGTTCACAGTAACTTAAACGCAAGTAATGGTGTTATAAGAGATTCGCATTACTCTCAAAGACTGGCAATATGGTTTTATTGCACTAAATTATCAGTTATCCAAATCAAGCGGTCTTTAAATGTATCATCACCTACATATTCTATTTTCAATGTTCTACATAATGAACATGAGAAAAAGTTCAAGATTTGTAGTAACATATATCTGTGTCAACCAATCGTGAAATGTAGTCCAAGGGTATGAAAAAAATCAGAGATGCTCAAACAGGAAACCAGTCTATGTATGCAGCTCTTATTTATGTGTCTTTTGTGATGTAATTGTGACTTGTGATTACAGCAGATTTCTTGCAGTATTAAACGCAAAATCTTGCTTTTAATCGTCAGGCTTAGCCTTTACTTTTCCAATAAAGAAAGTTTTTGAATATAAAGCAAATTTATAAAGAAATTTTATTTCTCCAAGAATTGATGTCCAATATTATCCTGCTGTTTAGCGAATCCAGCTCTACTAAAAGACGTAAAGGAAATTTCATCTGTCTGTCTCATATAGATTTAGAACAATAACTCTTAATCTTTACTTCCCCTTGCCACCTCTCAGGTATCGCTACTTTTTTATCTGAGCGATGTACTAACGAGGATGTTCGCATTGCGAGATGTTTGCGATGGATTTTAATAAATGTGATTGGCATGTATTATCGGAGAAACATGATTTTCCTAAAGATTTGCTTTCTCTTTCAAACACGTTCCTCAATCACATTACGTTAGGTGAAAAGGTAATAAAAGGAGGAAATGCTAAGAATCGGACCTCTCTACCATGCATATTCTTCTAGAGAATAATGGCAGGATTCCCAATGCAAACGAATACCCATTCTTCTAAGTACGAAGGCAACACATCCTCAGATCACTTGATCTGTGTGTGTTTATGCGCGCGCGCGCGTGTGTGTGTGTGTGTGATTTAGAATTTTGACGTAGCTTTAAAAATGTTTCAGTCATATCGCTACGATATCTGCAGTGTAGTAGTTTATAGTTATATCTAGCACCACCCAGTCACATTATCCTGATACCAGGTCGATCAGTCCTAACAGTAACCTCTTAATGCTAACTGCCTAGCGAGGCAACTGCAGTACGATTGTTTTAAGTCTTTGGTATGACTCGGCCTGGGTTCGAACCCGCCACCTCTCGTATACGAGGCCGACGCTGTAACAACTAAGGTCACCGGATCGGTTCACTTGATCTGTTACCTTACATATATTTAACAGGATAATTATTGAAATCTTATTACCTACAAAATGTCACTGATGAATCCAGTGAAGTTGATATTGATTCTTTTAATTGGGTCTGGTGGTCGCAAGTGCTTCGTAAATAGAACCTACCAGATTCAAAGTTTGCCTCTAAGCTAATTCTCTGACATAAAAACTAGAGTTAATTGGGTCTACGTGTAAACTAACAGCATCTATTATCTCTCGGATCCTCTGGTTTATTGCTACCTCTGTACGATTGTCCCCTAGGTTGGTTAGTATTTTGTCTGCTTGAATTCGGTTGGGAGCGATATTGGAGCACGTCCGACTAAAAAGAATCCGCTGAATGTCCCTTGGCACTGGCGGAGACTGAGTGTTTCCAAACGCCTGTGTGGAACGAGTGCTTCCAAACGCCTGTGTGGGATGAGTGCTTACAAACGCCTGTGTGGGATGAGTGCTTCCAACGCCTGTGTGGGATGAGTGCTTCCAAACGCCTGTGTGGGATGGGTGCTTCCAAACATCTGTGTGGAACGAGTGCTTCCAAACGCCTGTGTGTGATGAGTGCTTCCAACGCCTGTGTGAGATGAGTGCTTCCAAACGCCGGTGTAGTATGAGTGCTTCCAAACGCCTGTGTGGGATGAGTGCCTCAAAACGCCTGTGTGGGATGAGTGCTTCCAAACGCCTGTGTGGAACGAGTGCTTCCAAACGCCTGTGTGGGATGAGTGCTTCCAACGCTTGTGTGGGATGAGTGCTTCCAAACGCCGGTGTAGTATGAATGCTTCCAAACGCCTGTGTGGGATGAGTGCTTCCAAACGCCGGTGTGGTATGAGTGTTTTCAAACGCCTGTGTTGGATGAGTGCTTCCAAACGCCGGTGTGGTATGAGTGCTTCCAATGTCTGGGTGGGATGAGTGCTTCCAAACGCCGGTGTAGCATGAGTGCTTCTAAACGCCTGTGTGGATTGAGTGGCGAATTTGAGGTGTACTTCCTAAGCTGCCTGCCTCTGAAAGTCTTCAATTCTTCCTGCAAAAAGCAAAGTTGGAGTAAATTTTTTAGACTTTACAATACAGTGCAGCGAACTTGTAAACGGTCGTAAAATTCTTTTTCGATTGCTGGGAGATCAGTACTGATAGCGTCTGAGTGAGTTTTGTACTTGGCTTTCTGAAAACACAAACCCACAATTTCTCAATCTAGCAATTGTACCCGAAAGCCGGTCATTCGTCTCCTTAATTTTAGCCTATTGGGAGTTAGGAGTAAAGCGTCTCCTCCCCGTCACCGAAATCTACCGACGCTTAAAATTTATAATCTTTAGTAGTAATGGTTGTGGGTGGAAGGTATTCTAAAGTGGTCAACACGCGATAAATTTTCTCCACTGCTGATTTGAAGCTGAATTCAGTTTATTTCATAGTCGGATCTGAATACTTATTTGACGAAGTTCGTTTCACCCACTCAATGTGTGTTGAGTTCCATTCTGGGTACGCATGTAGCTCTGGACAGGTCATGCCTGGTGGCATTGATGACCCCGGCCGGACGTCCTTGGAGATGTTATTTTCTTTCTCTATTGGATAGGCAGTGATCATTCTAAAATCGGGCATTGCCGAAACTGCTAGCTGGCTTGCCTTGTGTATAGAAGACGGACCAGCTATCACTGACATCAGCTGCACCAAAGGTATGCCTTGACAGATATATTTTTAACTGAAATCTCCTGCATAGCAATGGGAAGTTTCAGACGGTGCGGTTAGACGGACGGATATATCACTATGATATCCCCGTACATCCTAGTTGGTTTATCCTTTTCAACTATACGGTCCCCATACTGAGACGACTGGATGGCTGGTGACAGCCGGATGGCTGGTACCTGTGCGGTGTTAGTATGAACAGGGTTAAATGGACCAAGTACAAACCCAATGCGACCTGACATATAGGCTCGAAGTCCATGTTCGGTTATGTGGGGTGACGTACATCCACTGGGCTGCCCAAAACTGGGAGAATACGCTCTGAGTTGGAAAAGGTACGGAAATTTTAGCGACGGAAGAAAGGTGTAAAAAAAATTTGTCGTGATGTCTCCTGGACAATACTTCCTATCTGTTCGAAGGCGGCATTTGCACCATTTCCACATCATCTTTAACTGCCGTTGATGCAACTGTGGCCCACGGTTGCAAACGACGAACTTTCGATGGGGCGGGGTGTGCCAACATCCCTACATGACTCTCAATGGAGGTTGAATTAGAATATATACTGAAGGAGTTAATGAGTTCCTTCCTCGACTTAATCCACCGTTCCTTCCCTTTAGCTGCTTTCTTGGCCACTAACGTCCAGAATTCTTCTGACTACCTATTACATAAGCTGCATACAGGAGTCGTGGTTGTCCTCCTTTGCTTTGAACTTCTTGGACTTTGTGCACTTGGATGTCGTTGCCACTGATAACAGCACGAAAACAAAACAAAGTATAAATTAGTAATACAGTATATTATTAGCAAGCTAGATCACTCTAGTTACTAATGGAACAGTGAAAAGATGTCGAATTTAGATGCCTTATAAGTTATGCTTTGAACTTGTGCATTCATGCCTTTAGTTAACATTTCTGTGAAACAACGTAACACCAAACCAAGGATAAACTAGCAATGCAGCATGTTATAAACTCGCCAACTCTTCTCTGTTACAAACGGGGAAAGTGAAAGCATTCAAAGTCGTACTAAATCGTAAATGATAGCGTGTTGTAACGTGATCTTAAATCGACGAAGTCCATAAAGGTGATAAAATCACTCAAATTTGGCAGAAGTTTCAAAACTTGATGAATACAAACTGCAGCAGAATGATTATTCCAAACAAACAGAACCCCAAAGGAACGTTGGATGGTTCAGTTTGAACACAGAAAATGACTTGGATTGTCGGGTGTAAACTTGATGATGTTATCAGTACAGCAGAGAAGCTTAAAAGCTTTGGATATCTGGCGGTGACAAGGGGAAGCAATGGGTAAGTGTTATTTGTCTAAATGAGATAGAAATAAAAGTTTTTGTTTTTCAATGAGGCTGAATTTCCGAGGTAATAGGCTATTATTTCTAACTTAACGTGATTGTGAAACGCACTTGAAGAAGAAACATATAACTCAGTAGAGAATAAATGATGTCCTTTCCAAGACATCTTTGGGTAAATTTGGATGAATTTTACAATGCAGTTCATAAGAGCAATATCTAGATGCTTTTGATATGCCGACAACTTCCTTCATCTTACTTAAGTGATTTGGGCTCTGATGTACGTAATTAAATGGACCGTACATGTTAATTATCAAGTAAGTACGTGACAATTATCAGGTACATAAGTAATAGATTATAATTACTCGTACGCACATAACAAAGATAAAGCATATGGACGATGACTTTCACGCGCGTACTTAATATGTACACGTACGTACGATATATTGTCTGTATGATTTAGATTTTCACGTAGTTTTAACAGTTTCAGTCATATCGCTACGATATATGCAGTGTGGCAGATTTTAATGATGTCTAGCACTATGGCATCATGATACAGACATGTAGCATCATGTCCCATCCAGAAACATTATTCGGACACCAGGCAGACCAGTCCTAACAAAAACTTATTAATTATGAGCGCCAACCGAGGCAGCTGGTAGTATCATTTTTATAAGCTTCTGGTATGACTCGGCCGGGGGATTAAACCCGCGACCTTCTGCATTTAATGCAGATGCTCTATCTACTTATGCCACAGAAGCGGTTAATACGTTATATTTATATATAAGTGCGTAATAACTGTCGAGAATGTAAGTGATAAATTGTTTGTCAAGACAGCAATACTCCTCCGTATTAAAAAGCGTCATTAAATGATAAAATCTGAATAACTGAAGTGTGTTGCACATCCTTGTATGGACTATGTGACAAGATACGAACAAAAAGCAGCCAAAGGCAAGATTATACATGTCATGCAAGTAGATTTTGTGTATTCGTTACATTTCTATGAAATGATAAAATTATTTGATTTATAGTGGAATGTTTCTGCTTTTAAGATAGATAAAATAGATAATCCACCACCATTAACATGTGAAGAATGAGATAAAAAGAGAAAAATGGGAGGGAGGATTTACCTTGTTCAAGCTTCAACCTGGAAATGATACACTAGTAGATACTCTATGATATTGGACTTTGGGATGGGGAGCAGCCTGTAACACTAGTACAGACTAGCCTGTAACACTAGTAGAAACTCTAAGCTATGGGACTTTGGGGGTGGAGGGTGCAAAAGAGACTAGCCTGTAACACTAGTACAGACTAGCCTGTAACACTAGTAGAAACTCTAAGCTATGGAACTTTGGGGGTGAAGGGTGCAAAATAGACTAGCCTGTAACACTAGTTAACAGACTAGCCTGTGTAACACTAGTAGACACACTACAGCAAGGGACTTGGGGGTGAAGGGTCAAGAGGAGCACTCGCCTGTAACACTAGTAGAAACTCTAAGCTATGGGACTCTAAGGGTGGATGGTGCAAAAGAGACTAGCCTGTAACACTAGTAGAAACTCTAAGCTATGGGACTTTGGGGGTGGAGGGTGCAAAAGAGACTAGCCTGTAACACTAGTAGAAACTCTAAGCTATGGGACTTTGGAGGTGGAGGGTGCAAAAGAGACTAGCCTGTAACACTAGTAGAAACTCTAGGATATGGGACTTTGGGATGGGGTTGCAAATGAAACAAGCCTGTAACACTAGTACAGACTAGCCTGTAACACTAGTAGAAACTCTAAGCTATGGGACTTTGGGGGTGGAGGGTGCAAAAGAGACTAGCCTGTAGAAACTCTAGGCTATGGAACTTTGGGGTGGGGGTTCAAAAGAGACCAGCCTGTAAAACTAGTACAGACTAGCCTGTAACACTAATATAAACTCTAAGCTATGGGACTTTGGGGGTGGGGTGCAAATATGACTAGCCTGTAAGACTAGTAAAAACTCTAAGCTATATAACTTTGTGGGATAGGGGTGCAAATGAGACCAGCCTGTAGTTCCTTAAGTAGCCACCATATTTTGATTTTCAATTATTTATTTTTTTTTTCATTTTTTCCTCACTTTAAATTTATATAGTCTCGACTTCACACTTTCTTAAACCTTAAAGGGTAGAAATAGGGAATTAGGGCAAACATGTAGTGGTTAGCTATTACATTTTACGGAGAGAGAGAGAGAGAGAGACAGAGAGAGAGAGAGAGAGAGAGAGAGAGAGAGAGAGAGAGAGAGAGAGAGAGAGAGAGAGAGAGAGAGAGAGTTGCGTTGAAAAGGTGTATCAGCCTAAACTAGTGACGATGCCTCTAGTTACACCCATCAATCATAATCAAATCGAAAATGTATAGAGAAATAAATATAAGTACTTTTACACTTCCTTTTACTGATATTGGTTGCTGTCTCCTTTATATTCAAATGCATACATATTATTCGTAACATATTGTAATTTGGGAACGTATTTGAAGGTGTATTCAAATCAATTGTTAAATAAAAATAAAACAAAACGTTGAACAGTTCTACTCTTTATTCCCTATCGAAAGATTCCGTAAAAAAAAATAGTTTACTTTTACATTATACTTGAAATTTACACCTCAGTTATAACAGGTTTATTTAATGTCTTAAGTAGGTCTTTTTAAGCATAAGTAAATAAATATATTACTAATATATAATAATTAATAAATAAGCTTGTCTGCACTATCTAATTAGCCAAGATAATCCTTGAGTAGGTTAATCTGATTGATGATACTACCCATTGCTCCCTGCAAGCTCTCAGATCCGCAGTTAAATGATTGGACGATAAGGCTGCTCCATACCCTAAATAATAATAATAATAATAATAATAATAATAATAATAATAATAATAATAATAATAATAATAATAATAATAATGATAATAATTAATAATAATAATAATAATAATAGTAATGGAAGAAGAAGAAGAAGAAGAAGAAGAAGAAGAAGAAGAAGAAGAAGAAGAAGAAGAAGAAGAAGAAGAAGAAGAGAACACGGAAGACAGAAAAAAGACAAGATCAGGAATTCTTTCAGCGAAGTTTTGTATTTCTGATAGTATCCTATTTGAGAGCGAGTTTAGAAACATGATGGAAGAAAATATCCTAATAGGCTAAGTCAGTCGTTTATGATTCTTTGACTGGAGGAAAAGAACTCTTTGCGTTTCTGTGGGGTTTTGTTGTTGTTTTTTTTATAAATGGTCGAATAAAAACAATAAATGACGGTGTCGAGTAAATGAAATATGGTTGACAGTAATTTTGATGGCAAGCATTTCTAAGTCTAAACGTTTTAATATTTACTTTCGATACTACGCTATCGATCATATGAGTAATTACTTGTCATATCTGGTTTTATCTGCTGGAGGCGCCTTGTACTTTCGAGTAAATACATGCAAATCTTTACGCGAAAAGTATTGGTCTATATTAATTGTGACGTGAGATCGAAAGTAAACAACTGTCGTATTGCACTAACCATCTATAGTTGATAAACGTCCTCTTTTATCCTTATACGCATGCAAAATCAAAATCGTGCACAAAATGAACGTATGACAAAGTAAAAGTATATAAACACTAGCTAGCGACATAGCTTTTATTGGATGGCGTTGAGCTTGTATCATCCGTATCAAGGAGTAATTGTATTTGATTGCCGATATTAGATACCACATAAGGTAATTATGTTATTAGTGTTGATTTGTCCTATCGAGTAGTATGAAAATGGAGATTTTGAGACTGGCTTTATGGATAAGGATGGGTGTTTTTTTGCCACAAAGAATTTCCAAAATATTTAACTTTCCGTTACTCACGAATCTATGATTTAAGTATGCGGTGTAATTAAATATTTGGTTTGTAAAAAAAAAAATTATAAATAGAGCGAACGATCTTGCTTAGCTAACTCGGCTAGGGTAAACGAGATTACAACGTAAACGTTAGTTGACGATTCCAAACTAAATTTATTGAATGTACTATGCTGGTTTGAAACTTAACCGTATTGCACACGTAAACAATTTGCAATTATAGCTGCGATTGGGTTTGTGTATGCATTTATCGGTTACCCAAGTTTAGCACATGTTCTTGGATGTCACCATTCATCCTGTTATGACCCTCTAGTTAATTTGCATGTGTGCTAAAATTTAAAAAAAAAATTCTATTTTATTTCTTTTTGATTTTTATTTGATTTTTATCTCATTATTATTATGATGATGATTATGTTCCCAGGGTCTGATGTTTTGTTAGAAAAATCGTATTTATTTAGAACGTAAACGTGTCTTGTGTAAGCACGATTTTCGTATGACAATTTTTTTAAATTAAGTAAACTGTCGGAAAGAGCTGCTTAAATATTGACTGTAACTGAGGTCATTTCTAATGATACTTGTTTACGCTTTTGTAATGCAAGGTTTGATTTCGAAATCGTCACGTGTCTTTTATGCATGTGTACATGAAATGACGCCATAGTTTGCTTTAAATACTCGTGAAATAGTTGTTCACAGACGAGAGTCATATTTTAACATCTTAGAGAGTCACATCAAACATCTTGCAGAGTTTCTAATACTTTAAGAGAAAGGTATTCCCGTGCTGTAAGGAGTTGTTGGTTTGTATGTATGAAGATCAAAAATGTGATTTGTTATTGTTGATAGATGTACTTCATCTACCTTTTAAAGAATAATTATTTTCCCTGGTGAACTACACAACTGGCTTTTGGATAAATACATTTGCTGAATTTATTAATTAATTGGAACAGGACGGTATAAATTGTGTTTCACAGTGAAAATTCTGGACATTTGTGTTAACCTTCGTCTGACGTCATCATCCGCCTTCATGGAACGGAATCGAGATTCAGACTACGTCGATTTAGAACTGTTTAGTTGCATGATCTTTTGTGTTTTCACAATTTTAAGAAAATTGTTGGATCTTCTTCGTGAATCGTAGGTTTTGTTTCATATTTTTATCTTTTCACCGTGTTTTCTAGGGGACAAATACTTTTGTTAAAATCTTACAAAGCTTGTTGTATTCACTCTTTTTTTTATGTTATTTTAAACGAGTAGATAAGTAATAATCCCAATGAGAATGGTCGCGAAGAATCAGTTTAAAAGAGATTACTTTAATTCGTGAACATCGTCTATATCTGGAAAAAGGGAACCAACGCTTTTATTGATCTTCTTTATGATACTAGAAAGACAAACTTCGGAGGCTTATTGCAAAGGTTGTGTTTGACTCACGCAAGCTATTCGACTGCGGACTCATTGTTATCCACAGTACAAAATCAGAACATTACCAAAGTGTATATACTTTAGCGGGTGAAGCTTAAAAAAGCTATATACTTCTGGCGCGTCATGTTGGGGTGGTCAAGAAGCGTTAATGTATACATTTTATTAGGATAAGACAAAACCGTTTTATTAGGATCGTGTCAAAACGCTCTACACAGACACCGATTCTCTTTTTATGTATATCACAGGTAACCAAGATTTGTCACATATGAAATAGGACACACTTGCGAATGAATCTGACACAAGCGAGTACCGTAAATATCACGCTCTTCAAAGTAATGCAAGTAAAATCGTTTATTAGAACGTTTACAGATGAATGTCCTAGGAAACCCCTCAAGGAATATGTATTCCGTCGCGCCTGGACCGCAGTGTTGCAAGAATACCAAAGGAAAGTACTCTACAATTTCCAAACGCGAACACGAGTCAACACTCAGATCTGTCAACACACTGAAATGTGAACCGTAG